CAATTTCCCGCTACAGCAGCGTCGGACTTTGCTTGCAGTTTTCGGCAAATCTGCCTGTCTTTTGCTCCGATTTGGCCATGAGGGTGTTTAAAATTAAATTCTAAGCAAAATTTTTACCTGTTTGGCGGTCGGAAGTAGCTTCGACGCGGCGGCAGGTGGTGGCGGCTTCCTTTCCAACAGCCGGGTCTTCTTCTCTTGCAGGGAGGGTCTAGCGGTTAGGGTTAGGGTTTGGTATGAAGAGGGTTATTTATATCCATCCTCATTTAATATGGACCGTATATCGCGTTTAATCTGAACCGTCCGATCACGTTTAAATAGAAAATAAATATGGACTGTTGATCGCGTCTAAATCTGACCGTCCGATCGTATTTGAGGAGGGAACGCATCCGAATCGTCCGTGTGCACGGGAGCGAATCTGGACCATCCGATCACGAGCACGCGAATCACTCGTGTGGCACCGCGGACGTTGCCACGCGGCGCGCTCCGGTTCGTCAGGGCTGCTTAGTAGGCGTCCTACATGGCACAATTTTTTTAAATTGTATTTTGACCTCTAGTTTCTGAATTTTCTTTCAAAAATATTTCAGAACCCAAATTTTAACCTATTTTTTTAAAAAATTATTTTCAATTTCATCATTCATTAAATTTTCTTCATTTTTACACTAAATTAAAATTAAAAATTAAAAAAATATATTTATAAATTAATTTAAGTTACATTAAAATTAATTTGGATATTACATATTTATTTATTATTTTTTAAAAAAGAAAATTTTCAGTATTAAAAACATCTATATTAATATATCATAAATTAAAAAGTACTGGATTTAAGTTAATCATAATGTTCGTTGTAAAATTACATTTAGAATCAGATTTTGTTATTAATATTCTTCTTTAAAAAAGAAGCAAGTTGGATTTTTGTAATTAAGCAAATTTAATTGTAACGAAATATTTCTTCCGTATGGATATGTCATGATTTATCGGGAATAAGTTACATACTAATAAAATAAGTTTTTTTTTATTTTATTGAATAATATATTATAAGTTAATCACTATCGACCCATAATACATATATATATAAAATGACAAATTGTACATATATAATAAAATTTGAATTCATAACATTCAAATAAAGTATAAGAATTTTAATCACTAACTATTATATATGAATGGTCTATTATTGATATCTTAGCATTTTTAAATTTAATTTTTTAATTAAAGTAAGTCATTCTTTCTTAATAACAAATTAAAAATTAATGAACTTTTATTTAAAAGAGATACAAACAAACTTTTAGTTAATAAATAAATAAATAAATCATAAATATTGTAGTTTCATAATTAAAAACTTTATATTCTATTTAAATTTTATGAATTTAAAACATAATACTTATTATTTTATAATACTTTATTTAACAAAACTTAAACTTACCCCATTACTCATAATTTAAGGAATTAGGATATATGTAATAATTATTATTTTTTAATTGAGTAGTTATAATAGATTAAAAAATCCAAAAATATTTTTTAAATAAAATTAAAATGCTTATATATATATGTATATATTACACCCATGAAAAGGCAAAAATCCAAGTAATGCGTAAATAATTGGGACCCTATCCTTTCGGTGCAAACAGCTTATCAATTGCCAATAATATCCTTCACATATATATATATATATATATATAAACTATCAATCCGTGAATAATATAATATAAGATATGTATGTATGTATGTATGTATGTATGTATGTGTATATATAACCAAAAAATTAGGAAAAGAAAAAGAATATTGTAGTGCCTTTAGGTGATCAAAACGACCCAACATTTTGCAGTTTTCATTTGTTTATTACTTAAATTTTAACCACTAGTCTAAGCTATATATTTCTTTTTTAAGTCTTCTTTTTTTTTTTTTCAACATAACCAAACTTGTAAATAATGTTATTACAACAGATTAACTTTAGTCTCTATGTACGCCTTAACTATGTATATATATATATATATATATATATATATATATTACTATCAAATGCAAAAGAAGGACGACAAATATATGTAGAGTAAAATTGCAAATAGTTAGGCATATATATACATATACATATACAATATATATTGATGGATGGAGAGGAGTTAGCAAAATGTATGATAAGGGACCCTACTTTCGTTTTCAGCGTTATTGCGTTGCAGGAAGGTCGTGTTTATTGCTCTTTGACCAGTTTCCTCCCTCATTTAATTATCACCACCACAAAATAATCATTCATTTCTCACAAGTGCTAATAATTAGCTACTCTGAAATATATATATATATATACGAACTTCAATTATAATTAACAATGATGACAAATTATATCTAATAATTAAAAAATATCTATACCATACACGTATACATACATACATAAATACATATATATATAATATTAAGAAGTGCAATTAATCGGTATGTATTAATTAATTTTTATTAGAAAAATATTAATAATTTTTCACGGTTAGAGCTTGTTACAAAATGAATCTTTTTGTGGGTAGGTCAGCATCCTGTTGATTATGCTTTCAAGTGCATATATATATATATATATATATATACGTACACATGTGTGTATTGATATGCATGCATTTCTCCTGAAACTCAAAAGTTTTGGGTGGTGTAGGGAAATTAATCATTTAATCCTTGACCAGCCCCGATAGTAGAAGAGGGTGGAAGTCCATACAGCATATATATATATATATATATATATATACTTGCATATATGTATATGTAATATGGTGATGGTGGGCTAATGAAAAGCGGGAGAAAGACAGAAAGATAGAAGGCTGAGGGACCTGAAACAGTAGAAAGAGATGCACTTTTCAAATGCATGTCAGTGCATGGGACTTCTTCTTCCAATATTTTTTAAAATAAATAATTAAATAAATGTGTTGGAAACTCTTATCATTTTTCACAGTTCCATTTGAAATAATTAATTATCGTAAGGAAAAAGATATATATACATATACATATACATATATATATACATATAGTCAGAGAGTGGACAGATCGAGACGCCATGCCACCCGTACGTATGTTTTTTAATTTTTTTTTTAATATATTTTTTCTTTAAGGAAATAAAAAATTATTACGTACATCTACAACATACACCAGACCAGGCTAATGTACTGGGACTTTCCAAAATTGGTTCACTGCATGTGAAATTTGGATGCCCACTACGAGCGTTCATGAGTTTTTAGATAAATAAAATAATAATAATTTTATGGAACCATGTTTAATTCGGAATTAAATTATGATATATATATATATATATATATATTGTATTTGGTTTTGGAATTTTTAAACAAGAGTCACACAAGCAAGAGCAAGATGATGAAAAAAAAAAAAAAAAAAATTCCAATATCATGAATGTTCGAACTACAAACATTTACTTCATATTTTTAACTCGAAGAATATTTTTATACATTTTGAAATTCATCTAACTTATAAACCCTTAAAATATTTTGAATTACAAGATTATTTATTTTTAAAGTTTAATTTAAATTAGTATATATTGATCGTAAAAATATATATTCTCGATAGCTACGTGATCATATTTTTATAAATATTCTAATGCATTTAACATTGTTGATTTATAATATTTGTAAATTCAAAAAAAAAAAAAAACCTATTTTGATTCAAAAGAAAAAATTCGTCAAGATTATAACAAATATATATAAAGAAGAAGAAGAAATATATTAAGTAAATAAATAAAATTATGAAAGCCACGTGGCAGTCGTGTGTTAATTGAGATAGGTGATACTATAAATGATAGATGTCCTTATTCTTAGAAGTAGCAATTATGATTAAAAATGATTTTCATGCATTAAATGTCTAAACTTATTTCTATAGAAAACTATATACTAAACTTATTTAATTTGAAAAAAAAGAAAATTACTTTTAGTTAGGACCCACATAAGATATGAATATTTCTATACAACCGTTGAAAAAATATTAATATACAGTTGAGAATAACCATACACATACAATAAAGATTAAATTCGAACATATACACATATATGTATATATATATATATATATATATATATAACTGGATGTGAAACTGACTGAAACTCTCAGAGTGTAATAAATTTTGTATGACATGTTCCTGAAGTTAATCCAGAGAGAATAAATATAATCCACTAAAATAGTGGTCCAAATAATTTTATAAATTATTTTATACTTTATACTTTCAAAAGCCAACAAAAATTCTCTACCAACACAGGAATGGTTTTGTTTTTATTTTTTATTTTTTATTTTTCCTGTTCTTCAAACTCATAATTAATAAACATGTAAATACAATAACATATAATTAAATTGAGAAAATATTTATCTTTTATTTTATTTATATAAATTAATTATAACACAATTTTACGTAAGGAGGAGAAAAATACTAACCATAAGTGAAAATATTATTATTAAAGAGAGAGAGAGAGAGAGAGAGAGAGAAAGGAAGTCCTTAATCTCTTTATGCTTAGAAAAGTATCTGAAAAATCCAAAGTTTAACAGTAAAGAAGAAAAAAGAAAATGAAACGATCCAAAAACAGTGCAGCTGCGTTTGCCCATTACTTCACAGCCTGTGGTTCTTGAAAATCAGTGAGATAATCCGACAAGTTAAGATAATTCCAAGCATCCCATGTGGGAATTCTCTCCCCTTCCCCCTTTTTTTTCTTTCAATCCACTCTTGCTCTCCTCTCACTTCACCTTCTAACTTCTGCGTTTCATTTTTTCCCTCTTGTACTTCTTTTAGTCGTTGGAGAGTTTTCTCGCGAAAATCCTTACATTAGTTCTGTTTCTTTTCCTGGGTTTCTAGTCTCCACCATGTGGGAATCAGAGAGTGAGTCCCTTGGAGGGAGAGAGTATGGCAATGGAGTCATGAGCTCAAGCAAACACGGTGTCAAGACTGATGGTTTTGAGCTAAGAGGCCAGTCTTGGTATGTTGATATGAATGCAGAATCCATTTATTTCTGTGGAAGAAACATGAGCTCTCTTTCCTCCTCTTTCTTTTCTTGTTCATTCTTTGGTTAAATGTTGCAGATTAGCCAGAGTTATATACTTATAGGTTTTCTTCTCCTGAATACTAACTAACTATAAACGATTCAACAAATATTTATAAATAATTATTTTAAGTTAAAAGAAATAAATTTGGTGGGTTTTGTAGGTACGTTGCTACTGATATTCCAAGCGATCTTCTTGTTCAAGTTGGAGATGTAGATTTCCACCTACACAAGGTAATTTGATCGCTGAATTCTTTAGCTTCCAAGTGCTTGAAACAGAAGAACAAGTATTGAATAACATGTTTTTTCTTTTCTTAATTGTTTCCAAAGTTTCTCTTGCTTTCTCGGAGTGGGAAGATGAATAGGCTTATCTACGAATCGAGAGACTTGGAGCTAAGCAAGATATGTTTGGATGATCTTCCCGGAGGGTACGAGGCATTTGAGCTAGCGGCCAAATTCTGCTATGGAATTGCTGTTGATCTAACAGCGGCTAACATATCAGGCCTGAGATGTGCTGCTGAGTATCTGGAAATGACAGAGGATTTGGAAGAAGGCAATCTGATTTTCAAAACTGAGGCTTTTCTCAGTTATGTTGTGTTGTCTTCCTGGAGAGATTCTATTTTGGTATTGAAGAGTTGTGAAAAGCTGTCTCCATGGGCAGAGAACCTTCAAATTGTGAGAAGATGCAGTGAGTCTATAGCCTGGAAAGCTTGTGCCAATCCAAAAGGAATAAGATGGGCATACACCGGAAAATCGCAGAAAGCCTCCAGCCCCAAATGGAACGATCTCAAAGACTCCAGCCCGAGTCGAAACCAGCCAGTTCCTCCCGATTGGTGGTTTGAGGATGTTTCAATTCTCAGAATTGACCATTTTGTTAGAGTCATTACGGCAATCAAGGTTAAAGGCATGAGGTTCGAATTGATTGGAGCCTCAATAATGCATTATGCAGCGAAATGGCTTCCTGGGTTGATCAAAGAGGGGTCAGGAGGAGGTGATGAAATGAGTGTTAGTAGTAATAGTAATAGCAGCAGTAGTAACAGCTGGAAAGGCGGACTCCACATGATTGTGGCAGGAACAAGAGAAGATACTCCGACAATTCAGTCTAAAGATCAACGAATGATCATCGAGAGCCTAATCAGTATAATCCCACCACAGAAAGATAGTGTGTCTTGTAGCTTCCTTCTCCGGCTTCTGAGAATGGCTAATATGTTGAAAGTAGCACCTGCATTGGTTACTGAGTTAGAGAAAAGAGTTGGAATGCAGTTTGAACAGGCAACACTGGCAGATCTTCTGATTCCGTCTTACAATAAAGGCGAAACATTGTATGATGTGGATCTTGTTCAGAGACTGTTGGAACATTTTCTTGTTCAAGAACAGACAGAAAGTTCAAGTCCAAGCAGGGCATCATTTTCTGATAAGCACATGTATGATGGAGCTCAAAGGACTGCCAATCCGAATGCTAAGATGCGAGTGGCAAGACTCGTTGACAGTTATCTTACAGAGGTTGCCAGAGATAGAAATCTGTCTCTGACAAAGTTCCAGGTATTAGCAGAAGCATTGCCAGAATCTGCAAGGACATGTGACGATGGCCTTTATCGAGCAATCGATTCTTATCTTAAGGTAACTCTCGTTTTTTTTGTCCTTTCTGATTTTCAGAAGTTCACAGTTCTATGTAGTCAGAGAAATATGTCTGTGCATACTCATTTCTTATTGCAAACTGAAGAACTTATATAAAATGCCAAAGCGGGCGGCATAGTGAACTTCCTCCATTATTATACTGAACCATTGTTGCTCCTATCTCCGGGGAATATATACATGCAAACATATACACGCCGTAGATGGATGTTGAATATACATATATTCATATAATTACTATGTTACGCAAGGAAAATTTATGGTGACTAGAGATCCAAATAAAAAGATTCAAGATTTTTGTG